AATGAACCACTTACACCTCGCCACCTAGCCTTCTTCTTCCTCGTTGGTTTTTTTCCTGAAACAAAAAAGAAATTGGCAACGGTTTTGAACCGTCCCCAAATGTACAGTTTGCCAAAATAGCGAATAGCTCATGGTAGCTCATAAATTGAGCGTGAGTGTGGATTTAGCATCGTCCAAGCATGCTGAGTTGAATGGCCTAGGTCTCACGTGCTAATTTTTCCTTAACTGGGAAACCCCAATTTAAGGTTCTGAAAACCCTAAGCGTCGTCCATGGTGGTTTCTCGTATGGTGCATAAAAATTCAATTCAGCTACATGGTTAGCTTCAGGAAGGTCCCATTAGTATAAATCAATCATAAAAATGCAATGATATGGTCTAAATAACAAAGCACGATTATGCAAAAAGAATGATACAGTTTGCCTTTGAATTACCAATTCTTTAAGTATGGGACAAAGTTCTTGATTGGAATCGTCTCCTGGTCACCTTGGCAAGCTAATGGAATGGTTATTTGATCTTGAAAAGCCCTAAAACCTAGTTTTCAGTTTTCAACTTTCTTGGCAAAAACTCAAGTTTGGTTCTCTGTGTATGGCGCAGCTGGGACGTTATGGGCACGAGGGTTAGCATATGTATATATGTGTGAGTGATTAGGGTTGAGAATTTGATCAAAAAAATCCATGAATTGATGATAAGATATTTGATTTTCCATGCATTAGTTTTCAAATCTTTTTCATGCAAACTTAGTTCAATCACCAAGATTCTTTCCAAATCTGATTATACACAAAATCTTGAGATTATTTCATGCACAAAAAGATTCAAAAAGTTAGGTTTGGTATTTTTTACATATTTATTTTAATTAAATGAATTATTAATAATTAAAAATCCAAATAAATAAATAAAAATGATAAAAAACTTCCCTTTGGGCCAAATGGTCGTGCACATGCCTTGGATGATGAATTGTGGAAGAAAAAGAGGCCCATTAGCATTTTTAGGTCATTTGAATCAATGTTGACTTTTCAAAATATCCAAAAATTTCCCAACTTCCACAAGGCATATCTTGCTCAATTTATAAGCTTTGCTCATGTTCTTGGACATTTTGGAAAGGTATTTGAGTCCTCTAACCAATTTCTTTGGTCCCATGTCATTTTGATTTACCAATCTCAAGTTATGGCCCTTGACTTAAAGTCCCTTTTTGTTGACTTTTGAAAATGACCTATAATGTTGAAATTGATAACTTTTTGTGAGAGCATTTCTTGGACTTGAAGTATGAAGAGGAGTTGTAGGAAATGTCTTTCTCTTCAAAATGAGCTTTGGAGGGAATTTTTCTGATACTCCATGTGAAAGTTATGCCTTGGTCAAGTTACAGTTGACTTTTTCAACTGTCCAAATATGGAAACTTTTGCATCTTGATGATTTTTGAGCCAAGCTTTGAGAATCATGATCAAGCATTGATCAAATGATGTTTGTGGCTTTAAAATGAGATGTTGACCAAAAATTTGGACTTTTGACTGTCAAATGACCATTTTGCCCCTACAGTTGACTATAGTGCAATTAGGGTTTTTGACTGTGCAATCTTGTGCTGTAAGTCTTGAAACTTGATATGAGGATGCTTGACCATGTTTATGAGCATATGGGACTTGATTGGACCCTTGGAAACTTCATTTTCTTTGTCATAACCAAAACCCTAATTTTGACTGTTAGGAGGCCCTTGAACTGTGCAACCCTTGTGGAATTTTGAAGCTTTGACTTGGCAAATCTTGAAGAATATGGGAGGGAAAATTTTGGGGTACAACACCTCCTATTGTTGTCATTCAATTCAAAAGATTAGTGGCTCCATACTGAAATAACCGGCTGAAAATCATCAAACAATGAAGTCGCCATCGAACGTTTTTTATCCCACATGTAAGGAAAGGTAAACATCGAGAAAACTTGAGAAGGGAGAAGTCACGGTCTTGCGACCGAGAGATCGGGTAGGGGAGTCTGTTACGCGAGGGGAAGGTATTAGCATCCCATGCGCTCGTAGTACTCTACGGTATCCACTCTTGTGGTCTACCTTATGGGTGTGTTTAATCTATGCTTACTGTTTATTACTGCTAAAGGGAGAATGCATGCAAGAGGAAGGATAAAATAATGTATGGAAAAGAAAAGTTGTGCTCGTTCGGGCCCAACCCCGATGCCTACGTATCCCTTTTAAGGAATCAGAGCAGTCGTAGTTCGGCTCATATGTTTTTGTTTGTTTGTATTTTTTAATGAACAACATTAATTTCTCCTTTTGCTGCAACTCGACCTTTGGAGACTTACGCATCAGCACATAAATGAATTAACATGCTCTCTTGAAAAGATTTGGAGAAAATGTGCTTGGGCGGACAAAAAGGTTTGAATTTGTTTGTGTTTGTAATGAACGATATTACTTTCTCCTTCTACCGCAACTCGACCTTTGGAGACTTACGCGTCAGCACAGAAGTGAATTAACTTGTTCTTTTGAAAAGGTTTTGATAAAAAGGCCCGAAGGCTAAAAGAGTTTGTATTTGTCGGTGTTTTTGCTTGTAGGTAACAGCTAGTTGACCTCAAGAGAGATTTTAGCCATGTCTCTACTTATTCACGAAATGATTCTTTGAGGCTTGAACCATGCCAAGGCTTAGAAGGGAAAAACGATAAGATCGAGAAGAGACCCGCTTATCATCTCCCATGTTCAACAAAGGCACAATTCTCGTCAGTAATTTTTAAGTATCTTTTGAAGTTTGAAAGAAAAAGAAGTTTCAATTTTAGTGCAAGTGCAAAAGGGTAAGAAAAATCAAGGGGAGTTAGAATTTCTAAAACTAAAGTTATCATACTTCATATGATCTCTCGAAAGCGATAAATGCGGAGATGAGGAATAAAACGAGGTTGTGATAATACTGAACGGAGAAGGTCCGTTGCCTCTTCAAAAACCACACAAGCGATAAGGAAGCTCTACAGAAGCTGCTTCTCACAAGTGGTCAACTAATTAACCTCCAAGCATTCTCCATCACAAAAGTTGCATCATTACTATCACGAAATCTTGGCTAAAATGATAATGAAAATGATTGTTAATAATAGAGAGTTCTAATAGAATTCTAAAGAAAAGTCCTCAAGAATTCTAAAAAATATGCTACTATTTTGCATCATTTTATCATGTGAAAAATTAATCAAAATCATGAATAAATCACACAAACAATTGCTAAAATAAAAATTTGAAATAAATGAAGTAACAAGAAAATAGAACATAAATGCAACAGGAGGTGCAAATTAGATGCAGTAGGTATAATCCAGTAACGGAAATCTGGGCACTAGGCCCACTCTGTTTGAGCCCATGAAGCATTTTTGTATCACAAATTCTAGGTATCACACAAAAAATAGCATCAGGCCTATGGGATGTAATTCAGCCCAACAAGCATTCTCAACCCATCATCACAAACTATTTTCAAGTTTTCTTGTCATTATTAAATTATAAATAAAAAAACAATTAAAAGAGGGACAGAACAATGAAATTAGGGTGAATTAATATCTTCCACTTCACAAACCCTCTTCTTCTAAAATGGCGCGACGGCCGCCCTCCCTCAGCCTTCTTCAACGGTGCAACTAATTGCTCGTCACTGTCTCACATTCTCCCTTTATCTCTTCATTCATCTCTCTGCCATGCTCTGACTTAATTCGAGATGACCGAACCTTAAACTTCTTTGATATGATGTCCTTCTACGTCCGGTTTCATTAATGCAACTCTTGTCAATTTTCAACACTGTTGCAGACGACATCAACACCTCACACCACCATAAAAAACCTTGCCTCAACCTCATCTATTTCGCCTTTGACTACTTCTTCTGATCTACTCTTTCACGATTTGTGTGTTGTTGCTGATGTGAAATTAACGTGATGATGAAACTTGTTCTTGTGATGCAGAATCGATGTTGTTGCAGATTCGACGAAGATGAAGTCTTGAATCAGATGAATTGAAGAACATTGATGAAGATGATGGTGTTTGCGCTGGTTTCAGTTTTCAGAACTGATGTATAGAATCAATGATGTTGATTGAAGATTGAGATGATGAATGTTTGCTGAGATTGAAGAGTGAAGATGATTGGATTCTGATAAGTGAAGAGAGAAGATGATGATGAAGGGGAGGGAAGAAAGAAGAGGTTTATGAAGATTCTTCTGCAGAATTACCGAATGAATATGGATTAGTAAGTTTTTATAGTTAAATCTATTCTGTAGAGTTGAAATATAATGAATCCAAATCCCCCCCTCTATCTGAAAATTGAAATTCTGTTATATATATCGCTGAGAGTTGGTTAGGAGTTTTTTTTTAACTTCTGGTTAAGAGGTCATGAATTAAAGGATTGACTGTTTGTTAGTTGGTTAGAATATGGGAATTGGAAATTCTGTTTGAGATATCTGTTATGGTTGTTGCTAGTTCTGTTAGAGATTAGTTAGGAGTTAGTTTAAGAGGTTATTAGGGATTGAACAAATCTGTTAGTTTTTTTTTTTGCTGGAAGTTTGTTATGGAACGGTTAGAGGTTAGTTATGACAGTTGGGATTTGGTTAGGGGTTGTTAATTGGTTGGGAATTTTGTTGAAGTTGGTTAGAGGTTAGTGAGTCTCAACCTTTGGTTCTAATTATTTAGTATTTGTTAGATACAGTTAGAAAATTTGTTCAGATTCTATTAGAAAATGGTTATGAAATTCCGTGAGTTGGAGGTTTGGTACAGATGTCGGGAGGTTATGAAATTCTGTTTGAAGTTTAGTTAAAAATAGGTTGGTTGTTTTTTAGAACTGTTAGCTTCTACTTTTAATATTTTTTAGGGAAGGAAAAGACTGGCTGAAGTAATCAACAACATGTTCAATAAACAGGCTTCGACACTTTGAGATATCCACCTCCTGAACTGCTTCAAAGATAAAGGTATCTAACAGTTTTTTTTTTGGGAATTCACAACTCTCTCTTATAGGATGTCCAGAACTAATAAAGAACTGTTCTATAATCTTCCTTTGCATGGAATCCGTGAAATATGATGCAGGTATGAGTGACAGAAGCAGTATTGCAGATGTTAATTGCGGACAATTGGAAAGGTTTGTTTTCTTTGAATATTCTGTAACTCGAATCTTGAGATGTTGCAAGTCACTATATCTGGAAATATCAAGTGAACCTATAGGTAGAATATTCAGTGCTCTTACATCATCTAGGAATTTCTGGATGAAGAATAAAGACTTTCAATGCTTCAGGTAAAAGCTCTAGAAAATGATATACTTGTTTTAAAATACCACTGTAGTTGTCCTCTGCTTCACTCTGTCTCTCCAAATTTTCCATGTTACTTTCAAGCCAAAGAAGAAGTGCATCAGAAAGATGCATCTCACTGTCAACGGTCAAATGAGGGTGCTTTACTGAAGATAACAACAAATTATATGGAATTTTTCCAAACAAGTTGTTCTGTTTTTTGGACTGGAAGTTAGTCGTAGAATCGGTTAGGCGGTTAGAAGGTAGTATATGATAATTGGTGAGGGTTGGTTAGAAAACAGTTGGTAGGTTACTTAGAATGGTTAGTTATATGTTAGGATGATTAGGAAGTCAGTTTTGGGAAATTTTGTTTGCTGTTGTTTTTCTGGTAATGCAGGGCTGAACTGATATATACTTTTGATTTTTTTTGAGTTGGTTGGCTGAATTTAATACAGGTTGAAACTTGGAGCGTGAAGCTTGAAGAATACATGAAGATGGAGAACTTTGGCATGGCATGGACTTGGAAGTTTACGCATGGAATTTTAGCATCTTTAGGACTAAGGAACTTTGTTCAAGTGCATTTTGTAATAGTTTTTCTTTGTAGATTATTGGTGTAATGGGGTTGTAATGGTTTTATAATGAATGGTTAATTTGGATGAACTTTGAATACTGTAGAGTGAATTGTAAACGAATTTGAGCTTGAAATGTCGGGTGATGAATTTTATGGACGGAGTTTAAATGACAAAGTCTTGAAACTTTAACTTTAAAAATGCTTGAAGACATGAAAGCATCAAGTTTTCTTGTGGGGGATTGTTACACTTGAATGAAATTGAATGGAATTGGATAGTATTTTCTTGAGTCATGAATGAAAGGGTTTGAATAAACTTTGAACACATGTGAACTTGAATCTGGAATAACAATGAACATCTTTGTAATGCGTATGAACTCTGACTTGAAACAAGACCTTGCAGACTATACTTTACCCTCCAAGAAACTCATATGACCAATACTTAAGGCTCTTTGCCAACTTTAATCCAATCAAACACTTTCGAACATCTTTAATTCAAATCAAACTTCAAATCCAAATCACACTTCCATTCTCAATGAACTTCTAACTTCAATCTTGAATCCAAATCAACTTGTATGATAAGTAATTTGAATAGTCAATAAGATCTTGATCCTAAAAAATTCACAACCATGCCTTTTGTGTCATGCCTCATATTCCACGATTCAATCCACAAGTCTCTTATCTCGACAAGGTCCTTCCCTAATTGACGACCTTTAATCATCAAAGATGGACATAAATGATAATGAAAGAACATGATCAATATTAACATGAAACCTTATTTCCCCTGACCTTCAATTACTTGAACATTTATCAACGGATAGAAACCCTGATTTTTAATGAAATTTTCCTTTTCTGAACTAATATTTCTTTTACTTTTTCCATACCATTCTTCAAATGCAACTTGAATGCCTAACACATATTAGATGAAAGTTCAAGGGAGACCTTGGTCCCTAAGTTAATTTTTTAAAGCTTACTTTATCCGAAGTCAACAAATCTTATCCACGTATCTTTGAACTTGGCCCATGATTATGCATCTCAAGGTCTCATAAAAGCTTGTAAGCCCATCAACCAGGTATTCCATGTTGAACAAAACCCTTCCTTGAATGCCTTGAACCTTTAATTACTTTGCATGAATTCTTCCACGAGAAGCCTACTTCAATCCAAATATACTCGCATCGCAGATAACAAATGATAATGATGAGGACAATAATTGCCTTGGTTAAGGAGAAGTCCATGAATTCATATCTTAGGTCATGAACCACGCTTCACAATTCAATCCCCAGCCCTTAGCGATCGGTTATTTCAACTTGAAATTAGTGTCATAAGGAACATCTTACAAGTGTATGATAAAGTCTGAATCATAGAAGAATTCCCTTGACGTGAAACCCTAGTCGCACAAATAAAAACCCTAGTACTTGCCAAGACTGGATAAAAACAATTATATCTTGAAGAGAAATAAATCCTATTAACCACACCTCACAATCTTGATTCCCCGTTTAGATGCACAGAGACATATTCAGATGAAACATCTTTGAACCATGATTCAACAAAACCTAAATTGATTAACTGAAGAGTAGATGAATGTAATGTTATAGTCATTAATCCTAATCAAATGATATGCATAATTATAGGAAGAGACGCCATGATTCGAAGCCCACATATGCTAGGTCACGCCCTGGAGTTCTTGACCAGAATGACCTACAACCAGTTGTTCATCAAAAAATATTAGCCATGTAACTTGGTGGAGAAGAAGTCCAGAAATGAGCCTGAACCAAAACCTTAATTCCAAAACCTTGTACACCGAGAAGACCCTGGATAATCAAACTTATTCAACACATACACCTCAAATCAGCTGTAGACTCTAGCTCCCTAACTGCTGATCTTTTGAACCTCAGGCGATCTATTTTATGAAAAATGTTATCTATGCACATGACCCATTAGAATGATGCAGATGGATGTAAAGTCCAAGCCAGCATAAAAATTCAATTAGGAGGGAAAATTTTGGGGTGCAACACATACCAGATTCCTTCGATTCATAAGGCAAGGGCTTTCTGAAAGTTCCCTTCGAGTCAGAAATTAGTGGCTTAATGTTAACCCTTTCTATTTAGAGTGAAATGACCTTCTGAAAGTATCCTTCAATTCAGAAGGCGATGGCCTCCTGCAGCTTTATTTCGATTCAGAAGCCATTTGCCCCTTGCATGTTTCCTTTGATTCACAAAAGCCAAGACTTCCTTCAGGCCAGTGCACAAGGCAAAAGCTTCCTCATGGATAGCATGCACAAGGAAAAATCTTCCCCATGGCTAGAATTCACAAGGAAAAAGCTTCTGTATGGCTAAGCATTCATATTAACACCCACAACGCATTGGTTGTCTTTATGCTAGCTCTGACTGGGAAAAGTCTCCCTTTGAAACAACTTTCTTTCGATTCACAAGGGAAACGCCTATCCTCTTGAAAGCTTCGACAAGGCAACGCATATCTTCATGATAGCACCCACAAAGCATTTGTTGTTTTCACGCTGGCTTCGACTAGATAGGAACTCCCCTCGTGATTGCTTCGATCCCACCCTTAAACACCACTAACCCACATAGTTGGTTGCCCCTTCGAAGGACATGTACTGGTGGACTTGAAGCACACACATAGGTGTCCCATTCGAAGGATATTCCTTACATACCCATTCGAAGAATTGCATTTGATCCCTTCGAAGGACACATATATAGTCCAATCGAAGGATACACATTTGGCCCCTTCGAATGGTGCACAAAAGACCCACTTGAAAGACACTTTGGTTGGGAATAAATATTGTTATCTAAAGAGAGGATCTGGCCGAAGGTTGGACTTATGAAGTCAAATTGAAGGATATGAAATATTCAAAGATGCTTGTTGTAAGTCCAAGCCTAATGCACTGGCCACAATGCTCCAAAACTGTTGCACAACAGTCCTGCTATACTGCTCCTGTATTTGCACCAATTTGGCATACCAATACTGCATCTCGAAAGCTATAAAAAGAGCATACTCAATTTGTTCAAATTGTTTTTTCCCTCCTAAACCTCAGCCAACTTCATCTATAAATAAGAGGTTCTATAATACATCTAAGGGGGCTGGACAACACATCTAGAGGTTTTTGATAGCTGGAAACTTTAATTGTGTGGAAACCATCCAACACTTAATACATTTTTAAACCCAAAATCAAAAGACCATACCTTTGTTCCTATCCCTTTCGAATCCAATACTAGAAACACAACACCTGTTTCTTTTCCCTTTCGAATCTAGGAGAAACCTCACGCTTTGTCCTTTCTTTCAAATCCAGCAGAAGGAACACTACACATGTTCTTCTCCTTCGGATCAAGAAACAACAAACACAACAACACTCTTATTGACCTTCAAATCCAGTCAAAGAAACACCACACTTATTTCCTTCCTTAGAATCTAGGAACATCCAGTCCAATCACTCATGGTCCAAAAACACCAACTTTAAAAGCAAGGTAAGTCTCAAAACGAAAGAAGAAGTTTTGTGTGAAATGAAGCCTTAGGCTTTGCCCTGGCTGCTTCACAGTCCCAAATAAAATTCAAAGAGGGTGTGAATAGAGGATACGTACTCATGCTGCTTTGCAGGCCCTTACTACTTCAAAGTCCAAACAAAGGAGCGAGAATGGAGAAACGAAGGGTGTCCACACTGATTTCCAGTCCCAATCGAAAGAAGCAGCAAGAAGGGTGAATCAAAAATTTACTTTCTCACACTAACATTCTTGCAATCGAAGGAAGCAAAAGGGAAGAATCGAAGAGCGTATCTCATCCTAACTTCCAGACCCAAATTGCAAGAGGCAGGGAAGGGCAAAATCGAAGGGACGCTGCTTCCTGGATCGAAAAGCTTATGTCCCTTCTTTTATTTTGTTTTGTCTTTATATTTTCTTGCTATTCAACATGGTTGTAATAGTGTAGGATATTTATTTTCTGCATTTTTATTGCTTTATACAAATGTTAGTAATTAGGATGTATGGCAAGATAAAACCAACAAGTAGACAACCCTAATCAAAGACTAAATGCATGCAATCAAACACACCATGCACACTCATGCACCTCTAGGATAATCTCACTTGTTGCCTCGAAAAATAGTCATGTCCCTCGAATATGGACGTTTTAGCAAAGACCCTCGATAAAAGATCATAGTCCCTCAATGTCCCTCAATGTTGCCTTATGTAATACGGTGGAAGAACTGACTTGGGATGTTTTGTGTTTGATCGCAAATGTTGCGGTTAGCAAGATTCGCCATCGAATTTTCTTTTATCCAATAAGGAGACGGTGAAAATAACAGGAAAGACCTTTGAGATATTTTCTTGAGTTCGGGGGATAGATTATGAAAATGGAAGGTATTAGAACCGTTTTCATCCATAGTTATCTATGGGCTCTTTGTTGCTTGCTAGATCATTTGCTTTGTTTGAAAATGTGCTTTGTGGTGGTTTTTGAAAGTATTTTTGAAAAGACACCTTCATTTAGGAAAACTTTGTAATGGTTCTCATTTCGCAAGAATGTATACAAAGGGTTCGACTTTTGAAAATATTTCATGTTTTGAAAGTATTTGGTGTGTGTTTGTTTTGAAAGTGTTTGGTGTGTGTTTGTTTTTTGAAAGTGAGCAAGCAACTAAGAACGCTTTTACCTACCCAAAAGTCTTTTGTTCATTACTTCCTTTCCTTTGATATTGCTTTCTTACCATTGATTGGTAAGAAACCTTATCTTTGGATGTAAAGGGACGAACGTGGGTCATTGTATAGTCATGATAGCAATGTTGTGAGATATATTAACATTTCTCTTTGAGGGACTAAGATCATTTGAAAGGCAACATTTGTAGCGTCATCGTGGGACTATGATCTTGTATTTTTGATTATTTTTGCTAAGACATCCCACATACATAACTTGACCATTTTTTAGGAAACAAGTGGAGTTAACCTTAGGGGTGCATGTGTGAATAGTATGTTTGATTTGCATGTATTGTTTATCTTGAATTAGGGTTTACTAATTGTTTATTTTAGTCTTGCCATACAAACCCTAATTACGAACATTCATATGAAAGCGATAAATTGCGGAAAGTAAAATTACTATGCTATTACATTATTAGGGGAGGGGGTATACAAATTTACAAATGGGGATTGCAAGAAAATTATACCTAATTATCTATTACAATCATATTGAATAATGTACAAGAATTGAAAATATAATGTACAAGAAAATAAATGGAAAGGAAATGATTTTGGCTTTGATTTTTTGTTAAGGGTTTTAACATAATTGAAAAAAGAAAAATAATTAATTAAAGATAAATAAAATTAAACCTAAATTAATTAAGAAAAGAAAATAAGTTTGAAGCATTTTTAGGGTTTTTTTTATGAAAAAGGTTTTAAGTTTAATGAAAATAATATGAATATTAATTAATTAAAAGAAACCTAAATTCTAAGTTAATTTTAATTTAAAATAAAATAAAATAAACTTGAGTCTAATTATTATTTAAATTTAAAAATAAATGAAATTAAATTTGTTAAGAAAATGTTTTGGTCTTTTTGTTTTATAAAGAAAAATAAAATATAAGTGTGTAAAATAATAAATACAAATATTTTTTTGGATTTTTTATTAATAAAAATAATAATAGTAATAATAATAATAATAATAATAATAATAATAATAATAATAATAATAATAATAATAATAATAAATAATAATAAAGAAAAATTAAAAAAAAATATAAAAAATAAAAGTTAGGGGGTTTGAAATTGGATTTAGGAGTTTATTAGAAAAACAGTCTTGTTTGAGTTTTGACCCAAATGATGTTTTTGTCAACAAAGGAAAAAAATATAATAAGAAAAACAAAAGGGCATGCTGGAATAAGTAAAATGGGGGGATGGTGCAGCAAAAAATGGAAGGCCCACTGCAGGAGGCCCAACGCGCTAGTTGTTGGCAAAAAAGAAGGAAAGTGTTGAAAATTAAAACAAAAGGTAGCGTTGGGACTTGAACCCATGACCTTTACCATACATGCGCGCTACCTTTGCCACTGTGGTGGCTGTACATCAGTAAACATGAGTAAAATGATAAATACATAACATAAAATAAGTCCTGAAAATGACTTCATCTTCAACCTTCGGCCATGGTTCCTGTAACTTGCTTATTTCTCAACAAAAATGAAAGATGCAAACATGAAAGTTGCTCCATTTTTTCATACGAATCCAACCATATAAATACCATAAGCTATAAATCAAAGATGAATGAGAATTTCTAAAAGTACCAAATTCTGACCTAACTTTTTTCAGAGATTCAAACCTAAAATTCTCTAAGCACAATCAATATAAATGAAATCTATGGACATGTACAGTTTCAGGGCAACGATATCTATATTTTATCTTCACAAATGCAAGCATAACAATGCCTAAATGAAAAGATAGAAGTTCATAAAAGATACCTCAAAACTGGAAATCATGAAATGCAAATGAGCTTGATTCAAGGTGCTGCAATGATCAGGTTAGCTTCCTCAAGTTCCCAGGAAGCTAATGCAATGATTAGCTTGAGCAATGGATGGCTGGAATGGCCTGGAGAAGTCAACTTGCAGAGATCTGTTTTTGGTTATGGAGGACGATGGAGATGAAGTTACAGTTATGAAACAGGGACATGAATGGACTATATTTGATGTATAGGAGCTTTGTGACCGATTAGGAAGGAAAACACACGAGGGAATTGTGAGTTACAAGTTCAAAGTC